GAGACACAAAAAGAAATAAAATATGAAAGACAAATTAAACATTTCGTTACACTTTGTAAACTTTATCTTTTGAGTTTTTTCAATTTGAGTTTTGTTGAAATTCGTATTAAATGTTAATTTTTCATGTTCCCTGTCGCGGCATCTTTGCGTAAAAGTGCGCGCATCCCTCCTCCTCCTCCTCCTCCTCCTGTTCCTCATCCACCGTGAGGTAAATCACGGGCCACACGTGCACGCGTGTGTTTTACCGCGCGTGCTCGTCTGTGTTTAGATAGTGAAGGCCTGCAGCAGCCAGTAATAGCTCCATTAGACCCAGAGGAAAGAGTCGTTGTCAGTGATCCGTCACGTCCACGCAGGACGTGTCCATTCTACCAGCGGCCGCACGCTCCTCCAGGACCGAGCAGGTCAAGTCAAGATACGAGTCAAAAATAGTGATTGATTGATTTGTTTGTTAGTAAAAAAGTAAAATAAAAAAAAAATAACATTTTTGGCCGTGTAAAGTAATGTAACAAATCACGTGGATAATCATAAAAATGTAATTAAATGGAAACGTAACAAAAATAATTAAAATAAAAATAATTAATGTTATTATATATATATATTATTCATGTTCAAATGCGTTAAAAAAGTAAATAAAGGAATTAACACATTTTAATTAATACAAAAATCAAAGTTGTTCAGTTTTTTTTCCATGTATTTTTAAATACAGTGTCAAAGTCTGACTCGTGGAGATTTACTGTGCTTTCCATGTATTTTTAAATACAGACAGTGTTAAAGTCTGACTCGTGGAGATTTACTGTGTTCTGTTTTTTTTTTTTAATTTGTTTCTAATCCAAGAAGTCTTTTTCCAAATGATTATGATAAGTGTAAAAATTAAAGTCTGTGTGTTGGCCCGAGGCTGTGGCTCAGTGGATAAAGAGCTGGATTAAAGTCAGAAGGCTGTGGTTCTCATCACTAATGGGTCTAATCTCATTCTGGTCTCAAGCCCGGGTACTCCTGCCAAAACCTGTGCCAAGTACAAGTACGCGTACAGTATTTTTACTTAGTGTTAGTAAAGTACAGATGAATATATGTAACGTTTCTTACTACAGTCAATATCGCAGTGATTTTTCTATCGTTACGGGGGCGTTGTGTACTTTTCACACTGTGTGTGGGTGTGTGTGTTTTTGTGATGATATTCTCTTTAAAAGTGCAGCTCCGGCCTCGGTGTCTCCACACACACACACACACACACACACGGCTGTGTTTATGCAGCGGCGCTTCGCTCTCGGACGCGCTGCGGCCGAAACGTTTACTTTATGGAACTTCTGTTTCTCGTTCTCTGTCAGGCTGCGCTGCCAGCTGCTGCTGACAAACGAGCGACTCCAACCGACAGGAATTCACGAGATTTATGTGGGAAATGAAAGGACGACAGTGGAACTGGATTTTTCTCACTCTGTTTTTTTTTTTTAAACCAGCCCTAATGTCCGTGTGAAGAGTTTGTATCAATGCGCAGCAGGGCGGAGGAAAAGTCCACGTCTCCTCCTGTCATCGATAGTTGTTTATTTATTTATTAATTACTTCATTGTTTATTCGGTGATCAACCCTGCAGCTGATGGGTCGGTGTTGCCGGAGTTGCCGGTGTTGCTGGTATTGCCGGT